TACCGGACTGGGCAAAATCTCCAAGTGCTTTAACCTGCAGCATGAACGCAGAGAGGCCAGTGATCCACTCCCTCTGCGACCCTGCTCTAGCTACTCCGTCATCAGACGATATAGGCCTGCCCTGGTACTGGCAACGCTTGCCAGGTTACTAGCCCTTGTGTTAAATACGTTTACTGACCCCAGGCCGGGAGCTAAAAGAGATCTTGTGAGGGGACGAATCCTATCATACAAAACAAAGCATTACCGCTTCCACAAACTCGCCTTCTTATCGACTGCCTTACTCGGTGTAGTAGTGGTATGTCCTGATAGTACTCATCCTAATCAAGTCCTTCTCTTATACCTTCTCTCCAAGACAGCAGCTACGGATTGAATGCGCATTCAACACACTCCTTTGGACTACTCACAACCGTTACGCTATTATAACTCCTGCCTGAACTCACCCCCCCAACACGGCCCTCCAACGCCAGTCACCAGCGTCTCACTCAACTACGGAAACGGGAAAGCCTCTGGCCCGGTACCAATCAGTGAAAATTCAGACAATATATGTGGCAAGCTGCTTAGTAGCTAGTAACGCTATCGACTTACACTTCAGACGCAAAATACAATACCCAGAAGCCTAGCTCGACGCACACAAATCACACCGTTTTGGACACCACTAAATAACCCTTTCTCTTTCTCGCCGTAGCCCGCAAGGGCTTCATCCTGTCAAATTCTTTCCATTCAGAGCCCAGCGGCCGTCCAGAGCGGTTCGCTCTGGAGGACCTCATGTATCGGAGGCACGCTGGCGGGCACCTATCGAGTGGGGGATTATACCGTGGACTACTCGGGTCAGGGCTCACAATCAGGACAGCAAAATCAACATCAGCAAGCGTATGATACGTCACTTCATCAGCGTTCACGACACCAGCAGCCTCGGGCCTCTATTCACCATCCTGGAGGCCCGGCTGCTGGTATTCATGGTACTCCCGACCCGCATCACGGAAACCCTCATGTCCAGCACGCAGCAATGGCTCAACACCATCAGCATCCATCGCCACAGATGGTCATGGACCCGTCTCATCTAGGACATCATCGTCTGGGGCCGCCTCAGTTTGGAGCCCCAGGACAAGTGATGGCCCCTATGTACCAGACTCTTTCGACCCCAACACCACCGAATCACCCTCAGCATTCTGTGCCTCCACCTGGCTCTAAGCGGCCACGACCCAGTGATCTTGATCTATCTGTTACAGGAATGACTGACTTGGACCATTCGGATCTCAGTGGCATGCAACAGACACCTTTAGGAGCAGCATATGCTCACGCTGCCGCCGTGGCAGTTTCACAGCCTCAACACCAACCTATACATCACCACCACCACCTCCCCGACTCGGAGCCACCATCCAAGATGATGCGCCGCGACGACGGCTTAGGGGGAGCCCCAAGCGTTGTGGGACAAATTGGAATGCCGGATCCAGCACCTCGCCCCCGAGGTCCTAAACTGAAGTTCACACCAGAAGATGACCAACTGTTGATCGAACTGAAGGAAAACAAGAACTTGACGTGGAAGCAAATAGCAGACTTCTTTCCAGGACGATCTTCAGGGACATTACAAGTTCGATACTGTACGAAGCTCAAAGCCAAAACAACGAACTGGACCGACGAGACGGTACGTTAACCAGCACTAACCATTGATTACCTTGGTGGTGTGATTGAAGAGTTTTCTGACTTTCTCCCTAGGACCAAAAGCTCCGAACTGCCCTTCAAGACTACGAGAACGAGAAATGGAGAATCGTCGCCAATAAAGTTGGCACGGGCTTTACTCCTGCAGCGTGTCGAGAACGGGCTGAGCAGCTAATGGTTGAGGATCCAGCAACTTTGGCGGCTTTGTCACAGTCATTATCACCAGCTGTAGCCTCAAACGCAGAATCCGAAGAGCCCTTATATTCCCATCATCAGCTTCAATAATAAAAGAAAAATAATTATGCCAGCGGAGGGTTCATTCTATAATCGCGACGCATCAAAAACACCACATTCCCCTTTCAGAACGCTCCTTATTTCTTTACGATCATTCGACCTACGCCTAAACACATTCGCTTTTGCATTTGGCTGCTCTCAGCCAACATAATAACCATTACGACAACTTTATCAACGACCCCAAGGCCTTCTTCCTAGAGTTGTCGACTTGAGCACACCGGTTTCAGCCCAGGTAGGGCACAACGCACCCACGACTTGTTTCTTTTATCCCTGTATTAATTTCTTTTGTTCTGTGCTTACAGGCCTTTCATTATTCTGTCGTATTCGAGACTGGCCTTTTATTGTCACAAACCCTTTTTTTAACATTAATCATACTTCACTTCCCCATTCCCCTTCTCAAAAGATTGTCTTGTATTCCGTTTTGTTACGTCTATGATCTCCTATGTCGTTTTACGAAAAAACTATAGACCTGGGAGCCCCGGAAAAGGAGAAAGAATTATTTACATGCACTTAATATTCCCCATCCTTCAGCCAGGGGAAACCGTCCAATCGCTTGGGATATGTGGCTGATCACACTTTCTTGTCACTTATCACCCTTATCTTATAACTATATTCTACCTCTTAATCATTTATGTACGGGAGCAAAAGCAGGATCATGGGCGGAGCAGGTTTCCTTTTTTGGCGCAGCGTATTTTTCGGGTTTGTGTATGTAGAACGACGGACGAACAGGAGCATATTCTGATGTTTCTTGATACCACAGAAGAGGAAACGGAGCATGTAAGCGTAGAGCACGAAAGGAGAGGCTGGGGCTGGGGTGGCTGGATTCGGGTTCGGGAGACGAAGTCCATTATAGCTATCGGGGTGCCATGATTCAGGAACACTTGGAAGACGAAGGCGCTAGATAATAGAAGACAAGATCTGCTTGATCATCATCAGAATCACGCCATGAGGCTCCTCTCTCTCAGGTCCAGAGTCGTGACGCTAGAAAGACGAGAAAATGGAGCCGGTTCACTTCGACTCCGAACATTGTGATGCCCTATAATTGAAGCCTTGAAACAATATATAACGCCCAAACTGCAAAGGTTCCCTCGGATCTGGCTCAGAGCACCCCCCCTGTATCCTTTGTCTCACCGGAACCGGTCTCCACAGTTGAGCTAGACGAAACGAAAGTGTTTATGCTTTAAATCCCTGCCACACTCCGCGCATCTCGTCTGCCCATGAGATGTAGGCATGTATGTGTATCTATGCATGTATAGGGGGGGGGGGGGGCGCTGCGATCAGTTATGATATAGGTAGGGTAAGGCGGGACCTTGCCACGTAGCTATCTGTACAGACAGTACTGCTGCGGCACAATCGCCATGATTGCCGACTGGCGGGGGCCAACCCTGAAGAAAAGGCTGCCAGTGAGCGGATGGAGCCGATGAAACGGAGGGCAAAGGGCCCTTTGGGTGTCATGTCACCTGTGGCTTTAAGGCGGTCGAGTCCATCCCACCGGTGTCCTCGTGATGTTAATACTTTGTTGACAGGCTATATGACCAGAAGAGTGCAGAAGGCCCGATCTTGGCTGTGATGGGATGGAATGGATTGATGGCGCTTTGCTGTTTGCCTGACTTTGAGAGAGAGACCCGCCTGGTTCTGATTAACTTGCTGCATTACACCGCATGGGATGCGAGTCACGGCGCTAAACGATGGCGTTTTTTGAGCTGGAGCTACGAAGAGTAACGGTTATTTCAAATATGCGGGTGCGCATGCGTACTGGCTCTGTGACGAGCTGCGTGGTGTCTCATTGTGACGTGTTGGGAGGTGAGCAGGAATGGGACAGTACATAAGTATGTATGCATGTGCGAGCGCGCGTCTGTAAGAGACGCGTTGAGCGGTCACACGACGCCAAGTGCAGTCGCACAGCGGTCAAGAGGAGGTAACACAAGATGTAGGTCGCGTAGCTTGCTGTGTTTGGATGATCTTCATGCTCCGGGGTTGAGGTTGTGTCGAGCCACGGCTATCGAGGTCATCTCAGAGCTGAGAGCATGAAAGAGCAGCAGCTGTGCCACATCTCATCACAGGTAGCTAGCTAGGAGGCAAGCAAGCAAGCAAGACAACAGTACCTACATGTCGGAGAGCCGGGGAAGGTAGAGGGTTACCGCCGCTGAAACATGTCTTTCGAAATCTCCGATGTGCAGTCTCTAAGCGAGGCATTATGGCTGGCTGATGTTGTTGACTTGATGTAGGTACTGCATAATATCATAAAGCAGACTGCCCGATCTGTGAAAAACTAGGCCTGAAACTGGCTTCAAGTCCCGGTTGCTACACTGACGATGCGTGATAAAACTTGGGGCACAACACCCCCTTCCAGTCTTGGTCATGGATTTGTCAACCCCCGTCGACCGAGACTTTTTGACCCATCCCAGGGCTATAACGGTCTGAGTTTTCAGGTCACATCGGCGGCCAGAGATGGATAGGAAAGAGAGGAGAGGAGAGGGACTCAGGGAGGTTGGGTCGATGACGGCGGTGTTTGGTGATGATGCATTGCGACGCTGAACTTGGTTAAGATGCCTGCATGTTTCTTTTTCGCCCCACGAGAGAGATGGGCTTTAAAACGTTTGTTTCATCTGGTTGGCAGAGCGGTTTTCGAGAGGGTTAGCGCGAGTCGATAACCACCTGTCTTATGGCCTATATAACTCGGTCTTATAAGTTGGGTTGAGTTTAGACCCTGGTAATCGAGACCGAGGAAGAAACAAACGCAGCCAAACAAAACGAAACGAAACACGCCACTTCCGGGAATTCCCAGTCGCCTTGTCAAATGCGACAGGACATATCCCCCAATGCGGATGTGAGCCTTGTTAATTCATTATCTCGTGCTGGCTTCTTTTGCAAGGATGCAGACGTTGGCCCGGAGCCGATCACAACCCTGGTCAGCCAAAATCTGCCAGGTGCCTATTTGGACAACACTTATGGCCCATGCTCATCCAATGTGTGGAGGGAAGTTGGATTGACCACAACCGATGGCAGGGCACGTCCCCGGATCTCCAGTAGCCATGACTCTGTCATCATTTTCCTGCATCTGTCCCGGAACCGTCGAAGCAACTTCCGAGTTGATCCACATCTAGGGTTCTGCCAGCCTCCACCAGCTCGACCAAGGTGCCGTGGCCCGTAACGTCTAGTCCCGGGTCTAGGAACGCTGCCATCTCAACTAGCCAGCCGTTGAAGTCCCTGATCTCGGTTGATCTGCCGGCACGCACGTCTTGCAGCATGGAGCTTGTGTTCTCCCTAACTTTGTGACCCACTCGATAGATCATGTCCTTCAGCTGAGGATGGGAGAATCTTTCCTGCAGGCTCTTGGGGGAGAGATCGATGATCGTCTCTGGTTCGCCTGGTAAACGTCCTTCCTGCCGTCCAATGATTTCTGCGCTGCTCTCGTGGGCCACTAGAAGTTGGAGCACTTGACTTGCTTCGCTTAGAAGTTGGTCAATGACTCGTGCGAGCACTCCATCTGATTCAGTGAATAGAGCTCCATTTTTGCACCCCAGAATAGCTGTCAAAGGGTTGATTACCGCGTTAACGACGAGCTTTTCCAATTGCAGAATCCATAGTTCTCCCCTAGGCACAGACCTAGCCTCTAGGTAGGGGGCCTCCAGTAGCTGCTTGACTAAGTAAGCTGTTTTCCCGAGCGAAATGGAGTTCGGGAGAACTGCTCCGACGACAACATCAGCTTGGGAGGCATGAAAACTTTTGAATGTTCCCTGGGATGTCACTCCATGTGTTGTAACACAAGCTAAAAAGTTGGGCTCATGGCTGCTATGATAGCGGTGGGAAACGTATAAGGATCCATGAGGAGGCCACAATTTTGACATTCCGTTTTGAGCGAATAACACAGTGCTGTTCCGGTCCAAGTATCCTCGAACTCGATCAACCTGCGGAAGGGCAGCTGAAGCCTTGGTCAAGACGATGAGGTTCTTGAGCTTTTCGCCATCGGCAACCTCTCGCACTGGGCCGAAATCTGGCTCATTCTCTGTCCACCATTCAATATCGAAGTCTTTGTTCTTCTCCAGTTTGCCCTGACGCAAGATTTCAATGCCGTCACTCTCGATCCATTGCTCCAAGAGCTCCTTTCTGTGAACAACCAATGTGATTGGAGGCCTGTCTGGCGCTTGGGCCAGTGAACTTGCGAAGAGGCGGCCTAAGTTACCTACTCCTAGGACGTAGATGCGCTGGTCGGAATCACCAGAAGCAGACGAGGTGGAAGGGTCAGAACCATGGTAAGAAGCAAGGTTTGACAGGTTCCACGCAAAGAGCGTAGGGGTCGGTCTTACGTCATTGCAACAAACTTCCAGCCATGAGGGACTCTGAGAATACATTCTGACTGAAGCGACTGAAGCGAGAGGCCAAATCCGGCGTGGACGGGTAGCAATCTTGAGGCGGTGAGGCTGGTTAAATTTGAAGAGGATAGACCGCATTTTGAACCCTAATAGATTGGAAAGTCTGACTGTATTATACGAGGACCGGTAGTGCCGGCACTTGCAGGAAAAGACGGACTCGTCGTCAGTCGATCAGAGACGCTAGATGTGTCGTATGTTCCTGATGGAGTCGGGCTGTCTGTCATTGGGAAGCTGAAGACGGGACCCAATTGGGAGATATTTATCGGACCGATAGAGAAGACATGGCTTCTATTGAGTTTGGAGAGTGGAATAACCCAGAAAATGATGATTTGTTATGGTTCGACTACATGCAGCTCATTGTGGGTGTAGTTGAAAATAAGGAAGGTGGTGATCTGAACTCAATGCTGGGGCGGGTGGAGTTGGTCTCACAGTGTAGATAACAAAAGTTGGAGATGATTGTACTGTATTTCCAAGACAGCAAGGCACTACCTACCTAACTGGGTAGTAATTGTAATTCAGACTCGGGATCTTCACATACCTAACATGCCTACCTCAGTACCTATAGTAAGTACTAACATAATGTTTGCTATTAAATTAAGAACAAATCACGATCCGAAGTGGCTTTGCAAAACGCTTGAAGCCGTGAAGTGGTCTCAACAGCTCATGCCTGCCTAAGCTGGGCTTAGACTGACTAGAAGAGCCCAACTATGGCTGAAACAAATTTCAGTGTGAGTGAAGGATATAAGAAAAAAGATGTATAACAGTAAGCATATTATAAGGTATATAATTAACTTGGCTGCCTTTCCGCCAATGAAGTTCCTGGGTATCTAGTTATTGCTAGTACATATCTCAGTTGAGATGAGTCGCACATCGATTTCCAATTAACAGTGACCCGCTTGGTGCCTGGATTCCTGTGCGCACCAATCAGCACATGTTTCTCTCGAATTTTAGTGCGCCCTGCAGCCTAGACTCATCTGTCATCTTCACTTCCTCGACGTCATTACAGCCTATTATTTGCGTACAAGGGCGAATTCAACTTTTCGCAACTGATTGATATTATCGTCTCCTCACTTTTCTCTCCAGAAGTTCAGAGTCAGATAAATTTCAGATCTGCTTAGATCCTTCAGCGAAGCTGGAAGCTCTTAATCCAGTGCAACGTAATCCATACAAATTCGGTCCATTCTCATTCACGCACATTTTCAACCTCCTGTCATTATCCCGAAGTTTCAACCCATCTCAGGCTTGCGCTGAATCATGAGGATGAGGACTCACCAGTGCTAACTCACCATACCCGGCTATCTTCTCATTTTGTAAAGCGCAGAGTCGACTGCTCAATTTCTCCTTACCCGAGAGCACAAGAAGCGCACCTTCGTGAACCCCGTAACCAACACGTCGTTCATCATGGCATCTGAAGATACGGTCTCAGATAATCGAGAAGTCGACAAAGCAGCACTTCTTGATCGAATGGTTGCTGCTGCACAACAAAGCGCATCTCAGGATGAAGAAGACAAAGAGGAGCAGCCCAACACCGAAGGTCTCAATGAAGAAGATGCGCTGCGCAATCTGACTGGCACCGTAAGAGATCAGAATGACCTGGAACGCGACATCACACTCCAAGCCAATGCTGCACTAAACGAAGCTGAGGACAAGAAGGATCAAAATCGCATCGAAAAGTTGGAAGCCACCAAGCATCGGCTTCAGCTTCAACTGGACAAAGAGAAGAAGCGCCTAGAGAAAGTTGCTCACAGCAATGTCTACCAAACTCGAAACATCCAAAAGGAAATCGCAAAACTCGATGAAGAAATCAGACAAGTGAGCAATGACATATCTGATTTCCAGGCACGAATAAAGAAGCGTCATGAAGAAAGCTCTGTGGACGATTCAATCAAGTCCAAATCTACTAGGCTTCCTGGTGAAAGCCACCGTGACTTTCTGATTCGGACCGGAAAGATTACACCATTTGCCAGGATTGGAGGACCACGACCTGCCGGAATTCAAGGCCAACTCGCCGATACGATTCTGGATGCAGAAGAAGAGGCAGCAGCTGAACAACTTGGAGGGGAACTTGAAGGACCTGCTTCGCATCAACGACTTCGCAGACCTGGATTTGCTGACGAGCTTGATTCGGAACCCGAACCCCCTCAACCAGCCCCAGCTGTTGAGAGTGAGTTCTCACTAAGGCCAAGGAAAAAACGTCGGATTCAAAAGGAACGTAGCCCGTCTGCGGACTTTGAGCCCGAAGCATCCGGTTCTGAATCTCACGACGATGATGTCTGGAAGCAAGGGAACGAGGATGATCTAATTAGAGAGCAACGCCGTCAGACAAAAGCCAAGACCAAGGCTGCCGATCAAGAGCAGATCGATCTCAGTAAGATCGACGATGGCAATGAAGCCCATTTCAAGGCCCGGTTAAACGACTGGGTGACTCGAAGAAGTCGTGCACGGAGGGCTCGGAAGCAAGCGGTCGACGTGTCTGCTGATACAGGAGAGAGTGATGAAGAAGAGGAAGAATGGTTCAAACCGGCTCCTGACTTTCCCGACTACAACTTTGGTGACGATCTGAAGCTGCCTGGAGATATTCATCCTTCGCTTTTCGGATACCAAAAAACAGGCGTGCAGTGGCTTGCCGAACTTTATAAGCAAAATGTCGGAGGCATCATTGGTGATGAAATGGGCCTGGGAAAGACCGTACAGCTTATTGCCTTCATCGCGGCTCTCCACTACAGCAAAAAGCTACGCCGTCCTGTCATTGTTGTTGCGCCTGCTACACTTCTGCGACAATGGGTGAGTGAATTTCACCGCTGGTGGCCACCACTTCGCGTGTCCATCTTGCACGCTTCTGGTAGTGGTATGATGAACCCCAAGTTCGAAGACGAGTATGATCTGGATCATTTCCAGCCCTTGGCCACCAAGTCAGAAAAGGCTGCTCAAAGAATCGTCAACGGAGTCGTCAAGAGTGGGCATGTCTTGGTAACGACGTACACTGGCCTTCAGACATACGCCGAGACTTTGCTGCCAGTTCAATGGGACTACGCAGTTTTGGATGAAGGACACAAAATCCGCAACCCAAACGCCGAGATTACTGTTACTTGCAAGGAACTCAACACGCCGAACCGTGTTATTCTCTCGGGAACACCAGTCCAGAATAACTTGACCGAACTGTGGTCACTCTTCGACTTTATTTATCCTATGCGGTTGGGAACCCTCGTCAACTTCAGAGCCCAATTCGAGATTCCGATTCGTCAAGGTGGCTATGCCAACGCATCTAATCTGCAGGTCATGACGGCAGAGAAATGCGCAGAAGCATTGAAAGAAACAATCGGAGAATATCTACTTCAGCGTTTGAAGATCGATGTCGCATCCGATCTCCCGGAAAAAACAGAGCAAGTGTTGTTTTGCAAATTGACTGATGGCCAGCATAAGGCGTATGAGACTTTCATCAAATCGGATGAGGTCTCGGCCATCTTGAATCGAAGACGACAATCACTTTACGGCATTGACATATTGCGCAAGATCTGTAACCACCCAGATCTGCTCGACAAGACTCTTGCAAAGAAGGCTGGCTACGATTTTGGGAACCCCAAGCTATCTGCGAAACTGCAGCTCACAAAAGATCTCTTACAAAAGGTCATGATTCCTAACGGACACAAGACGCTCCTCTTCTCGCAAGGTAAACAAATGTTGAACATTATTGAGAAGTGCATTAGCGAATGTGGAATCTCTTACGTGCGAATGGATGGAGAGACACCCGTTGACCAGCGTCAGCCAATGATTGATAGATTCAACGAAAGTCCGGATATTCATGTCTTCCTCATGACAACTCGTACTGGAGGATTGGGAACAAATCTCACTGGTGCTGATCGCATCATCATCTTTGACCCTGACTGGAATCCTTCAACAGATCTCCAAGCTCGAGAAAGAGCATGGAGACTCGGTCAGAAGAAGCCGGTAAAAATCTACAGACTTATGACGGAAGGGACCATCGAAGAGAAGATCTATCATCGCCAGATTTTCAAGCAGTTCATGACGAACAAAGTTCTGAAGGATCCAAAGCAGCGCAGCAGTTATGACCTGTCAGACCTCTACGATCTCTTTAGCTACAACACAGGGGAAGATGCGAGTGCCAACCGAAGCGAGCTCTTCAAGAAAGCAGAAGTTGAACTTCCTTCCGGCGATGGCGAACAGGGGCAAACGTCAGAACCAGCTCAGAATATAGCAGCCAGAGCAGACGTGGAGAGCAAAGAGCTCCGGCAGATGGGCCTGGTAGCTGCTATGGAAGACTTCCGGGAAGACAAGTCTGTCCACGATGAGAAGCGCATGCTGGACGGTATCTTCGCCAAGTCAGTCAACAATGCGTACGACCACGAGGCTATTGTGAACGGGCCCCAGAAAGCAAAGGCGGACATATCTGTTCTGCAACAAGAAGCAAATATGGTAGCCCGCCAGGCTGCAGCACACCTTCGCCAAGCTGGCGCAGAGGCGCGAAGAGTTCCCATAGGCACTGTTACATGGACTGGCGAGGTCGGCCAGGCTGGTCGCCCTGGAGCTAATCGTCGCCGCGGAGGGCCAAGCTCAGCAGCCATCATGAGTAACCTGGCAGATCGCCAGGGTCTTGATACAGGGAGTGGGGGAAGTTCTCGTTCCGGAACTCCTGGCGCAGACAAGAATCTAAAGTCCAAAGACTTTGTGGCCATGATCAAAACATTCATCAACCGCCACAATGGTCGAGTCCCCAGCAAGATGTTGGTAGACCACTTCAACCCCTACTGCCCCGGCAAGAAACAGAGCGACGAGTTCAAAGCTGCTCTGGATAAGGTTGCAGTATTGAACAAAACTGGAGGTGCTGGTAGAGGAATATGGACACTCAAGCCAGGCGTAAAATAAATAACTGGGATGAACAAGGCATGATTTGGCGAGGAGTTCAGGAGACATCAAGATCACATATAGTAGACATAGCGGCTTATAAATGTATACAATTGCTTTTATCTCATGTCATCGAATATGGTCAAGCGTACGGCTGCAAGGTATCACGTCATGGAACAAATCTGACAAGCAGGATGATTCATAGGCCTTCTTCGGGCGAATTCATAACTGTCTACTGCGTCCTAACCCATAACCTGACCAGGCTCTGCAGTGTAGACTGGAGACCAGGCGAAAAAGCCGTTCTCCTCGTGATTCTCAACGCCACAGAGAAACCAGATAGCGAATCTCCTGTCCAATCCAAGCCACCCATGTGCGAGCAGCTTAGAGACGACGACCACGGCGACCACCCTTTCTGCGGGTAGAGTCGGAGGGGGTAGGGGTAACGTCCTCAATTCGGCCAATCTTCATGCCAGCACGGGCGAGGGCACGGAGAGCAGACTGGGCACCGGGACCGGGGGTCTTGGTACCGTTACCTGCATGTGAATTAGAATGACTGTGTAAGTGAGGGGCAGCGGCAATTGAACTTACCACCAGTGGCACGGATCTTGATGTGAAGAGCGTTGATGCCAAGCTCCTTGCAGCGGGCAGCGACGTCCTGGGCAGCCAACATGGCAGCGTAGGGGGAGGACTCGTCACGGTCGGCCTTGACCTTCATACCACCAGTAACACGGGTGATGGTCTCACGGCCACTGGAATCACCCAAGTTAGCCTCAATGAACCATATAACATAGCAAATTTCTCCTCCAAATTTCATGTTCCTTATTCACGGGCTGACCAACCTCAGATCGGTGACATGGACGAAGGTATCGTTGAAGGAGGCAAAGATACGGGCAACGCCGAAGACCAGCTCGCCTGTTGTAATAATTTCGTTAGTCCATGATCTCTCTCTTCCTCGATCTTCAATCTACTCGAAGTTCGTGCAAGGGTGGTCGCATACCATCGCGAACGGAGGGTCCGAGGGAGATGTTCTCCTGGGGAGCGCGGGTGGTGGTCTTCTTGGGAGCCATTTTGAAGGGATGGGCGACTGCTGGTTATTTCGTCACTTGGCGGTTGAGAATGAGGATCTCCAAATGTTATTTGGGTTCGGTGGGTAGAATTGGAAAACCCTACGACCCACCGGCTAGATTGGGTAGGCGGTGCAGTGGGGCAGGAAGGTTTGCCAAACCCTACGCGAAATTTCGGCTGAAAATTTCTGTTAGCAAAAAGGCTGGCGGCTCCTCTCCTCAATCCACGCTTCCGACCGACAACCACTAACCGACCTCTCCAACAGCCGTCGCCGACAAAATGGGTGCTACGTATGTGAATCCTCCCTGAGGACGTGGACAATATGGGCAGATGCCCTGGTTCTCGAGATTTCTTTTGCTTTGCGGATTGCCGTGGTCCTCTCGCTGGAAAGTCACGGTCTCTGAATTGAGTCGTTGACCGCCAGCTCGATCTTTCTCGAGCTTCTCCCTCAATTGTTCTAGGCTTGAAATACAGCTTGGGCATTGAGAGATGTTGCTTGGGGTGTTGGAGATGAAGATGAAATACTCTTCTTTCCCAAAATCATTATCGTCGAATTGCGCGCGGTCGCTGAAATACGCACCACAGACCAATTCTTCGAATATCTTTCTTGAACTTTGTGTTTGAGGCGTTGTCGGATGAGCGGTCAAGGAAATCACCTCGATCCTCGTATCATGGTCTTCCAGCTCACCGATTAAAAACATCTTTCGAGTTAGCCAAGCAGAGAATGCTGCATTGCAACAGTTCTCGCACCGGCGCTCTGTTCCATACCACGTCCTGTGGTATCGTGGACTGCGAGCTAATCTGATTCAATAGCGTTCCTACCAACGACCAGATCCTGGTCCCCGAGACCCTTCTCAAGAAGCGCAAGTCTCAGGAGAAGGCCCGCGCTGAGCGCACCGACGCCGTTGAGAAGAAGAAGGCTGTAAGTACTATCCTCTATTTACTCTGGCACTATGATGGAAAACATACATTCATCAACTAGACTCCGGTCGATGCTGTTGATAGTTAACCTTCTTTCGGGTCTGACATTGCCTGACTGATTCCAATCATTTCTTCATCTACTTGCAAGACATGGACTGACCAGTTTGAAATAGGCCAACAAGGAGAAGCGTCAGGTCATCTTCAAGCGTGCTGAGAAGTACGTCCAGGAGTACCGTGATGCTGAGCGTGAGAAGATCCGTCTTCACCGCGTCGCCAAGGCCGAGGACTCTGCTTTCGTCCCTGCCGAGTCTAAGCTGATCTTCGTTGTCCGCATCAAGGGTATCAACAAGATGCCCCCTAAGCCCCGCAAGATCCTCCAGCTCCTCCGTCTCCTTCAGATTAACAACGGTGTCTTCGTCAAGGTCACCAAGGCCATCACTGAGATGCTCAAGGTCGTCGAGCCCTGGATCGCCTACGGTTACCCCAACCTGAAGACCGTCAAGGAGCTCGTCTACAAGCGCGGTTACGGAAAGGTCAACAAGCAGCGTGTTGCCCTCACCGACAACGCCATCGTTGAGGAGAACCTCGGCAAGTACGGCATTGTCTGTGTTGAGGATCTCATCCACGAGATCTTCACCGTCGGCCCCAACTTCAAGCAGGCCTCCAACTTCCTCTGGCCCTTCAAGCTCTCCAACCCCACTGGTGGCTTCCGCCCCCGCAAGTTCAAGCACTTCATCGAGGGTGGTGACCTTGGCAACCGTGAGGAGGCTATCAACGCTCTCGTCCGCCAGATGAACTAAGCGTTGGTTTCTAATAAAAAATGGCTTTTAAGGGATCGGTCGTTAGGACCTAACGGATTCAAAAAAGATTTGCATTTGACTGCTCGGCGTTCTTATCATGACAGGGGAAATGGCAATTGATACCGTGATTAATGACACCCGAGTTTTCAAATTATTCTATCAGTGATATCCTGTGATGTGAAGCAGCTGTGAAGAGTTTTCTCACGTGCCGTATGCATTCTCGCCATACATGGGAGGGGTATTATTAATGCCAATTATACATGTGGAGAACCACTTTTAAATCTATGGATCTTGAATCTTCATGTCCAAAGATCGGATAGGTATTCTACATCTTGATATCAAAGCTTGTGCCACAACCACAGCTACTGGTAGCAAGTGGGTTATCAATGATCTTGAACTGCGAGCCGATCAACTCCATTGTAAAGTCGACTTTGCTGCCCTTGAGGAGGTCGAGAGACGGCTCGTCGAGAATGATCTTGGGGCCTTCTTCCGAGGTTGTGGCCGGATCAGCATCATCGGGGATGTACTGAAAAATTGTATCGTCCTCGTTCACGATAGATGACCACTCGGCGGCGTCCTTGGCTGGTAAAGTAACAAGGCTCATGAGATATTGGAAGCCATGGCAACCACCACTCTCGACTTGAATCCTTAGGGCAAGGTTCGGGTTGCCATCCTTTTCCATGATCTTGTTTAGACGCTTTGAGAGTCAGCAGTGTCTCCATGGGATCTTTGCTTCTTGTAATTACCTTGGCAGCTCGTTCAGTAATCTCCAGCATCATCTCATTGCCATCCTCATCTTGTTGGGGATTCAGTATAGCCCGCGTCTTCTCTCGGATAGCAGTAGTCGAGAATTGCCTCGTAGCTGTTTCCCTTGATTTGAAGTCCCACGACCGTCTGGGATGAGCATATGTTCTGGATTGCGCAACAGTTATATGAGGGGTTCGTAGTCGAGATGGGGGAGTGCATCGTGGAATTAGGAACTCGAGAGGCGTTGAGGTCTGAGGCGTCGTTGTGTAGCTTCGTCGTGCGAGTTGAATAAAAGAATTGGCAGTCGATTGCGCATTAGCGCAGTGAATACGAGCCATGGTGTAAGTGACAATTTCAAGGGATTGAGGTTGTAAAGATGATGTTGGAGGGAAGTGGAATTACGTAGCGCATCTTTGCTGAGAAATCCATGTCACAGACCGATTCCGCTTGCCTCCCGGAGCTCGAAATTCTTCTACGGGCCGGAGACCGAGAGAACCTGGAGGGCAAGGTCCGGCTCAACGACGGATAAGACTCTTCTACCGCCGTTGTATTCCGAGGCTCAGCGATGAAGACATCTTTATATGACAACATTACGAGAATAGAATACTGTGATACCCTGAATTTTATTACCCTTATGAAGGCTCTGTTAATCCATCATCTCCTCTTGTTAATGATTCATTTTCCTTATGCTGCGGAAAGTTTGTCAAAGAATTTATACCGTTGACAGGTATGAAGGCGGGAGGGCACAGAAGATGGCTGCATACTTTCGGCTGGTTACGCATAACTCTATTCAACAATGTAGCCGCTATTCTCTGATCATAGATAATTCATACCAGATGACATGATGACTATATAGAATACAGTCTCTACTCAGAATTCGTGTCTGTAACTCAGCTTGAAGCTCGTGACTCATGCTATCTCAGCCACTTATACCCAACCTGTGGCTGTGCGCCTATCAGCTCGGTTGCCCCAGCCCCACCCTAACATCCCACACTGAATGAATTTTGTTTTTGGAAGGAACAACCCCGCCCACTGACTTGACTTGAGCCAGGCCAGCCCAACAGACAAGTTTCAGTGTCAAATAATTTGCCCAGCATGTCTCGATTTTTCCGCGGCGGCGACGACAGCTCTAGCGACAGCTCCAGCGACGAGGAGGAGCTCTACTCCGAGGAGGAGGAGGAGGAGGAGCAGCAAGACTCCCAGGAGGATTCTTCCGAGGCCGACAGCGACGACTCGAGCAGCGATGACGAGGGCGGCCGAGGAATCAACAAGTTCTTGAAGGACGCATCCTCCGATAGCGAAGACAGCGACGATGAAGTACGAGCCAAAGTCAAGTCCGCCAAGGACAAGCGCCTGGATGAGTTAGAATCATCCATCAAGCAAATCGAGAACGGTCAAAAGAACGGCGACTGGACACTCATCTCTGCCGGTACGAGAAACACTGTCGAATTCTTTTGTCAATTCTTTGTTCAAAAATACTAATAAAAACGCTCAGAATATGAGAAGCTCAACCGTCAGGTCGCTAAGCTGCCTGGCAGCAGACCCCCCAAGCTTTACATCCGTATCCTCGCCGAGCTAGAGGACTTTATGAATGAGTCTCTCGCTAAGCAGAAGGTTACACCCAAGAAGATGAACGCCATCCAAGCCCGATCTCTCAACGCCGTTAAGCAAAAGGTCAAGAAGACCAACAAGGAGTACCAGACCCAAATCGATGCCTACCGAGCGGACAAGGATGGTTTCATGGAGTCGTCGGACAACGAGCCCGTTGCCCCTGCCCCCAAGCCCAAGAAGGTTTCTCTCCAGGTCGACGCTGCTCCTACTGAGGAGGGCGACGACGATGGTTTCGCTACCGTTGGCAAGGGTGGACGCACACTCCAGTACACCCCCGAGAGCATCTTCAAGCACCTGCGAACCATCATGGAGTCCCGAGGAAAGAAGAACACCGACCGAACAGAGCAGATCAAGACTATGGAGAAGCTCCACGAGATCGCCAACACACCCTACCAAAAGATCCGTGTTCTCCTTACCCTGGTTTCTACTCGCTTCGATGTTGGCTCTGGCGGCGCTGCCGCCATGTCTGTTGAGCACTGGAAGGCTGCTGAGAAGGAGCTCTCAAGCCTTCTCCAAGTTCTCGAGGACAACCACGACTATGTCGTTGTCGAGAACGCTGAGGAGTGGGATGACGACGAGAAGCCCCCTACCCTGCAGGAGGGTGAGAAGCACATCAAGGTCCCTGGCAGCATTGTCTCCTACATCGAGCGTCTTGATGACGAGCTCGTCCGCTCCCTCCAGAGCATCGACCCTCACACCTCCGAGTACATCGAGCGATTGCAAGACGAGGGTGCTCTCTACAACATCATCTTCCGCGGCCTCCTCTACTATGAGTACCTCCGAAAGGATGACTCGCTTGAGATTCCCCAGGATAGTGTGAACCGAATTGTTATGCGCCGCTTGGAACACGTCTACTTCAAGGTAATTTCCCAGTCTTTCCTTCTACCTGTTTTCGCAGTAACTAACATTTCTTCAGCCCGCCCAAGTTGTCAAGACCTTTGAGGAGAACTGCTGGAAGGTCGTTGGCGAGACCGTCGAGTCTGTCATCACCCCCCGCGACCAAGCTCAGAACGCTGGCAACCTCGTCAATGTTCTCTGCAACTACCTCTTCAGCAACAGCGACGGTATTATCCGTGCCCGAGCCATGCTGTGCCAGGTTTACTTCCTCGCCCTCCACGGCGAGTACTACAAGGCTCGTGATATGATGTTGATGTCCCATCTTCAGGAGAACATCCCCAACTTTGATGTGCAGAGCCAAATTCTTTACAACCGTACTCTGGTGCAAGTTGGTCTTTGTGCTTTCCGCAAGGGTCTCGTTTACGAGGCCCAGAACACTCTCCAGGAGATCTGCGGCAGTGGTCGCCAGAAGGAGTTGCTCGCTCAGGGTGTCATGATGCAGCGATACAACCAAGTGTCTCCTGAGCAGGAGCGTCTTGAGAAGCAGCGACAACTGCCCTTCCACATGCACATCAACCTCGAGCTCCTTGAGTGTGTGTACTTGACATGCAGCATGCTCCTCGAGATTCCTCTGCTGGCCCAGACTGGATCATCTCCTGATGTCAAGAAGCGAGTGATCAGCAAGACCTACCGTCGCATGTTGGAGTACCATGAGAGACAAATCTTCACTGGTCCTCCTGAGAACACCCGTGACCACGTGATGCAAGCGTCCAAGGCCTTGGCTGCGGGTGAGTGGAAGAAGTCGATTGACTTCATCCACAGCATCAAGATCTGGGACTTGATGCCCAGCGCTGAGGAGATCAAGACCATGCTCTCCAAGCAGATCCAGGAGGAGGGTCTGCGAACATACCTCTTCACCTACGCCCCCTTCTACGACACCCTCTCCATCGAGACCCTCAGCGCCATGTTCGAGCTTGACTCGACCAAGGTTGCGGCAGTGATCAGCAAGATGATCAGCCACGAGGAGCTCGCTGCCTCGCTGGACCAAGTCACATCCACCGTCATCTTCCGCAAGGGTGTCGAGCTCAGCCGTCTCCAATCGCTTGCCCTCGCGCTATCAGACAAGGCCAGCGCGCTCATCGAGAGCAACGAGCGAACTCTGGAGCAAAAGACACAGGGAACTTCAAATGCATTCGAGAGACAAGGAGGCCGAGGCCGGGGAGGACAGAGACGGGGTGGTGGACAAGGCCGAGGAGGAGCTCGAGCAGGTGGCAACACGCAGCGACAAGCTGGTGGAACACAGTTCACGGGTGGTGCGCTGGGAGCGGCTGTCCGGGGTTAAGAATTGGGGAATGAACGAGATGAGGCGTCTTAGTCGTTTGCATTTTGCATGGGATGGTTTCTTTTAATGAAAAGGGGCGAAGATGCGGAAGCACTCGCTACGTGTCACTAGGTCGAAACGGAATATGGATACATAGAACTCGTCAACATTGCTTGTGCTTGTGCTGGTGCTATGCTGTGAGATGAGATGAGAGATGACAGGAAGAGTAGATCAAAGTCTTTACTGTAGCGAACGAATCCATGAGATGAAAGTTATTTTGAGCTGCATGACCGACTGGTACCGTCTGAAGGTCACAGATAGTAAGGATATGATGTTGAGGTGCTTGACTACCAAACATGTCCACACCAATCATAACCATGAAGGGATGGGGACAAGACCTGATGTATCTGGATGCAATACACCAGTTCCACCTCCGAAACTAGCAACTCTTGCCCGGAGTTTCGGGCTTTGGAGGTTGAGCGAAGCGCGCACTTCAACGAGAGACAGGCGTGATGACTAAGTTGGCGCGCGGATAAGGACCGAGTCCATCAGTCAGCGATTTCCAATCTTGTCGACTTTTTCCATTGCGGATATGGGCGGCTTGTGAGTGGTCCAAAGGGTTCCCAATCTGGAGACATCATGAGATAGACTCTTCTGTTTTTGTGTATTTTAGTGAGATTTTCCATGTCTTTGTTCTTTTTTCCCCTTATGACATTTTGTGTCAATAATGAGAACTATTTGGCGTTTGCAACACTGTAAAAACGTTAAACCTGTAAGCAAGATCAATTCTCAGACGTTGCCACTTGGACTGTCTTCGATACCCTCTTTTCGGTTGGCTATATCCGCGAAATCTCGTATTTCGACTGCTTCTTTCACATCTTCACGTAATCACCAGCAAACAGTCATGTCTGAATCAAAACCTCAAGAAGAGGCAAAGCCTGTCGAGAATGTTGAGACAAAGACGGAGGAGGAGTTACCGCCGCTGTCAGACCATGAGTTTAAGATCTATAACCGAGCGGCCGACCACATGGAATATTTTGTAAGTCTGACTTCATATCTATCATATAAGTCACTTGTCTAATGTGATGCAGCACAACAACTTTCGAAGATCATGGAATCTCCTATGGAATGCCTGTACCAACAACCGTCGACCTCAAGGCATGTCCCTAAAGCAGTTCATCATGGAAGGTCTCCAATTCGCTGAGCATCTCACCATGCACCACAACATCGAGGAGACGTACATCTTCCCCGTGCTAGCCAAGAAGATGCCCGAGTTCAGAGGAGGACGCGCTGAACTTCTCCGCCAGCACAAGCAGATCCACGCGGGATTGGACCACTTTGAGGAGTACCTCAAGAAATGCAGGACAGGGGACGAGGAGTTTGAGCTCAGCGTGCTCAAGACAAAGATGGAGACTTGGGGTGAGGTGCTGTGGAAGCATCTTGACCAAGAGGTTGAGACTTTGGGGGCGAACAACATGAGGAAATATTGGACCAAGGAGGAGGTGATGAGATTGCCCATGTGAGAGAAGCGCATGGCTTATTATTTAGCTGTGCTCTTGATATACGTACCTACATATAAAGAGCAGAATGTGACTTGTGTAGAGGAATGGGGATGTCTATATGAGTGAGATACGAAGATTTTGACACTGAGCCCCTGGAGTCAGGCCAAAGGTATAAGAAGCGACTCGGAAGAAATGTATAAATTAAAGTATTTATTAAAACATTTTAAAATTGACAAGTTGAGAGGATTTCTTTGTTAGTTGTATACACGCGCGCTTAGAGTGTGGATCTTACGACTTTGTACGTGAGTGGGGATAATTGATATTCCATCCGTACACATCTCGAACCAATTTTTGAGCATCATCGTTATCGATCGACGCCCAGCGACAGGCAGGCAAGATGATGCGCCAAAGTATTAGACCCTTGCGGGCTTTCTCGGTATGAAATATACGACAGAACCACTCTCAATTGGTTCTTCAACTAACATTTGTGCCAGTCCGAGGTGTCATGGATTGCCCGCCGAACACAGGCCTCACTGTACGTCCTCCTCGCCGAATATCAACTCGCTAAGACGATCGATTGCACGACCACAGATGTTGACTGATTTAGGGCTAAGCCGGAAGATCTGACCCCAAACAAAGTGGAGGAGTCACAACCAGAAAAAGCTCCTGAACTTCGATACCCTCGCTCCATCCAGGCTCTACACCTCAAGCCTCTAAAGCGCGAGGCCGAGCACGGCATCCCCTCATGCGACCTTCAGCTCCGATCCTACAGCGTCCAGCCTCTCGAATTCTTCTCCGACTTTGCCCTCCGCGCCGCCTACTACCTCGGCCTGCCCGCCTACGGCCCCGTGCCTCTCCCCCGCATCACAGAGCGTTGGACCGTCCCCCGAGACAACTTCATCTTCAAGAAGTCGCAGGAGAACTTTGAGCGAAAGACGCTACGACGGCTTATACAGATCCGCGACGGTAACCCCGAGACGGTGCAGCTGTGGCTGGCGTACCTGCGCAAGCACCAGCTCTACGGCGTGGGAATGAAAGCCAACATGTGGGAGTTTAGCGAGCTGGGCGTCGGTAAGAAGATGGATGCGCTGCCGGAGGCGGAGAAGGGTGAGATTGATGCCAAGTGGTCGCATCTTGGACAGACGAAGACGATTGGCACGGTGGAAAAGGTTGAGGAGTTGCTTAACCAGCGGAGGTTCCGTGAGGCTGCTGGCTTGAGGGTCCCTCCTACGACGAGCGTGTAAGGAGGATTTGGAGACATTGAGAATGAGTTTGAAGTCCTCGTACTGTGGTCCTGAGAAGTGGCCAGCTTGTTTGGCATAGACGGGAGGAGGACTTTATGTGTACAATAGCCCATAGAAGGCTCCAATTATGTAAAATCAACGTTTTGGAATGACAAAAGTAATCTCTTATGATCGAAGGAAGTGGAAGCTTTATCAAGTTCATTGTTTCTCATTTCCATTAGAACATCATTCTGGTGCTTCCGAAAGTCAGATTTGGTGATGTACTTACTGAGGCTATAACCTCACAACACCAGGAGATAAATAATTAATTCAGAACTCCAACCGCACCCTTAAACAGTAACGGATGAAATAATTACTATGTCTCGTATCTTTCGGTAGTTGCCGACAATCTTGAGCCTTTTCACGACATGAAGAAAGACGCCCCGGTAGATGCATATACAATCTCGTACTACTCACGACTCAACCTCAGTCTCAGTCTCAATCTCAGCTTGACTTAGACTCTCTCGACCCGCAGACTCAACTCCTCTCATTAAGCATCACACCAAACATGCTAAAATCAGCAATCACAAAACCTCGAGTGATTTTCTCGGGCATCCAACCAACGGGCATACCTCACCTCGGAAATTATGCAGGCGCACTTCGGCAATGGGTTAAGCTGCAAGAAGGTCATAAAGAAGACAAGCTCATCTACTCTATCGTAGATCTCCACGCTATCACAACACCTCAACCGGCGGATGTGTTAAGGAAGAGTAAGAGGGAGGCATTGGCTGCCTTGTTGGCCATTGGTATTGATCCCGAGAAAGTGACTTTGTTCTATCAGTCTTCTGTGAGAGATCCTACACCACTAACTCGTAATATCGTTACTGATGATGAGGGCAAAGGTGCCCGCTCATTCAGAACTCATGTGGATTCTCAGCTGTACAGCATCCGTTGGATATCTGTCAAGAATGACACAGTGGAAGGTCAGTGTATGTGCCAAAAGATGCCAACGTCAAGGCTAACTCTCATTCAGAGCAAGCTCAATATCAGTGACAAGTCGAACATGAACGATAAAGCAGCCAGCAATCTCAAACTCGGCCTGTTCTCATATCCCGTTCTTCAAGCTGCCGATATTCTTGTACACAGGTTCGTTGTGTAGTTACTCCCAGCACAGCACAGGAAAAGCTGACACTCATCTCTTCAGAGCAACTCATGTTCCCGTTGGTGAAGATCAGAGACAACATCTCGAGTTTGCGCGAGAGTGTGTGACAAACTTCAACGCAGCTTATGGCAACCATCTGGTATCCCCCCAAACTACCACCTGTAAGCCCAGGCTCTCACCATTGATCCTCTGACCTAGACTAATATGCCATGTACAGCTCCTGTGCAACGGGTGATGTCTCTCCAGAACCCAACGGAGAAAATGTCAAAGTCGAGTAAGTCACCGAAATCGCGAATCAGCATCATCGACTCGCCTCAAGAGATCAAGGCCAAAATCAAAGCCGCAACAACAGACTCCATCCCGGGGATAAGTTACAACAGAGAAGAACGACCAGGAATCTCGAATCTGCTTGATATCATGGCTATTTTTGATCCCGAATGTAGAAAGGCCCAAGAGCTTGGAGAGCAATATAGCGACCTTTCACCCAAACAGCTCAAGGAGATGGTTAGCGATACTGTCATTGGTGGTTTAGATGGGATTCGTAATCGGTATATGGAGCTGCTGGACAAGGGGGATGAGTACCTCGATTCGATTGAGGCAATTGGCGCTGAAAAGGCACGAAAAAGTGCAGAGGAAACCATGCAAGTTGTCCGAGGTGCTGTTGGGCTTTAAAAGAATTCATGTAAATCATTTGTACATTAGAAACCGCCTTCTCGGAAACCATGGTTAGGAAATGACGGGTGCTGGTTTTCACAACTCTCGCATAAAGTTTCACATAGATGGGAAAGGACAAGGGCATTTAATGTCATATCAAATCATACTTGGGGAATCGCTGCTAAGAAGAATGAAGTTCGTAGTCCTTGCACACCCATATCCATATCGTTACCGCTTCCAATGCTCCTCCAACTCTTCACTGTACCATTTTCTTTTACCGAATTGTGGAGGAGGTCCGCGGAGCGAATATAACAGCTGTCGAAAAGACAAAGAGTTTTACTGCTCAAATTCTTCGTTGGGCATGTTTGTCTGTTGTGGTGGCATGGCTGAGTAGGGATACATGTCGCCCATGTTGCCGTAGGGATTCATAGTCGGAGGCTGGGCCTGACCGTATGCGGCCTGGGGGTTAGGCACTGATTGGTCGGGATACATATTGGGCTGATTGCGGTAATCTTGATCGGGAGCGAGGCCATGGCCAGCCATGTAATCACCACCCATTGGATGGCCTTGGTTGGGTGCCTGGGCCATCGTGTGTTGTCCTGACATTGGAGCCTGACCAGCAGGTGCCGGCTGAGCAACTGCGGTCTGAGTTCGCTTGGCATGGCTGGATGCTTCTTCGCGGGGGACAATATCAATCAGAAAGTCGAACATGTCGGACTTTGCGAGAGCGGATGCAATGTCTGAACGTTGCAGAGTACGGCGCTTGTTCTCCTCGGCGTGAATCCATGCCCTCATGGTCAACTCTGTGATGAAGATCTCGCAACCCTTAGCGAACAAGATCGGGGCCTCGGCGGATATCATCTTGACCTCGGGATCGGCTTTCATAACTTTCTTGATGCGCGCTAGCGGTAGTTGATGGAGCTTGTAGTCGTGGTTGTCATTTTCGAGGTGGGAGATGGTGTGCTGCCAGTATGTAGTCAAGATGTCCTTGTACTGCCCGGTAAGGCCTTGATGCGCCTGGAGGAGTATCACTCGGTTAGCGCAATCATTACCACCTACAATGGCATGACATGATATGAGATTGTTGACTTACATTTGCCCAAGGACCGGTGTAAAGCTCACTGGGCGCAAAGCCTTGGGTTGCGAGCTGAACAAGTGATTAGCGCCATGTCAAACAGAGGTTGAAGCTATCGCGTCGCGTCGCGACACATCATGAGCAAGCAGGACCAAGGCAAGGAAGGGAGTTGATTTACCAAAGCACTGGCGCCATAATGTCCGCCTTGAGAGGCATCATAAACTGGCCTTGTGCGGCCTGCTGCTGGGTTATCCATGATTGAATGTGGTAGATGATGTGTGAAGAGAGAGAGTGAGCGTACACTACTGTGACGAAAGGTAGGTATATATGTGGGGCTTGGCTTAAGTATCCTAGAAGAAAACTCAGGAACTTGACCTTACGTGATAAAAATGCCTGAGTAAACCTAGCCTAAGCTCACGAGACTCTTTACGAAGTTTATTTTGACACCCCATATACAGGTCTGATGTTTTCTTGCTCCCTGAGGGTACCTTACCTAGGCGTTGATTGGTCAATGATTAATTCATACGCCACACAACGAACTGAGGAGGCAGAATGTCCTACTTACGTGTAAGGCCAGAGGTCATAATTAGAGATGCCTGAATCTTAATACCTGAGTACCTATCTACTATACCTAGGTAACCCTATCATGAAAGCTTGTGGGCAGAAGCTTATACTGGGAAAAAAACACATCGTGTCCTACCAGTAATCATCACATGTGTCCACAGCCCAAAGCTTAACCTTGTCTGTAAGCCAGCAATCAACCACTAGGTACTAAGGTACCTACCTACTAACTTACTAAGGTAGCTCAGTACCACTCAGGGAACAAGAAAACATAAGACTGCTGGCAAAAGAAGATGCTGAAAGAAACTTGATAAAGAGCCCCCTAAGCTTAGGTAGATCATCTAAGTCTATTACTCGGAATAAACAGAGGCCTTAATGGTTTCTTTGCTTTCCCCTATAGTTACGGTATAATCTAGAGCAAATGGAAGCGGCTGGAGTGGGGCTCTTGATCTGTCTCCACTGCATTTTTTCTGCCGTCTCTCAACTATTTCTACGCGCTCGTTTCTCATTCCCTTCACTTCTCTTCTTTTTTCCCTCTCGGTCGACAGCAGACCATGACAGACATCTCAGATGATCAGGTCGATGAGCTGCTGCGCAAGGCTGAGCAGCGTCTGAAAGATGGCTCTGCTTCTGCTTCTGCTTCTGCTATCGTCTCTTACACAACCTCAAATGCTGTAGTCGCTGGCGACGCCGCGACAACAAACCATGTCAAGCAGCAAAACTCTTCCAACAGCAGCAGCAAGAAAGATGGCCTGACTGTTCGAGCACCACCTCAACCGCAATTGGGACTCAAGGCCAAGGAAAAGGTAAGAAGACAAACTCTCTCCAAGCCTATTTCGTTTGCCACTTGCATGAAGAAAATTTATCCCAAACCTTTGTGACATGGGACAGTATCCGTTTTGGATCAAAGGACCATGACAACGTGATCTCTTTATATCATAGTTACTCTGACTTTTACCTCGCGCAAACACTTTAGCCCCAATGCAGGACACCCGCTGCTGAACAAACGTGGCTAACAAGTTTCGCAATAGTCTACCGCAGGCCCTGAGTGGTTCGATCTCCCCAAGACGAACATGACCCCCGAGTTCAAGCGAGAGTGGCAAGTCCTCCGCATGCGAGGCATCCTGGACCCCAAGCACCAGAAGAAGAACCTCCGTGCGACCGCCCCCGAATACTCCCAGGTCGGCGAGATCATCGCCGGACCGACTGAGTTCTTCAGCGCGAGACTAACGCGCAAGGAGAGGAAGAACACTCTCCTCGAGGAGGTCACAAGGGATCTTGATAGTCACAAGTTCACCGACAAGTACGCTGGCATCCAGAAGCAAAAGACCAGCGGAAAGAAGGCATTCTACAAGAACGTTGTAGCGCAACGTCGTAAACGTAATTAAATAATAATACTGTCAAACAATGATGCTTGTCTGAGTGATGTCCCTATTCTTTAACCGTGCCTTGGTGGTGAATGTTGAAGTAATGGCCTAACAATTAAGGATAAAGATGCTGGTAACTCAACTCTGCTTCCTTTCATGGTCATTGTGGCTGCCATTTTTCAACCCCCACCAGCCTTCACTCTTTGGCGGGGCATGCCTCTGGAAGCCCAGTGATCGCATCGCATGCTAGAGCGACCTCCATACACAATCCTTCCAACGATGACCGAAGACCCAGCAGAAGTCGAGAGAGTATGTATAATCGATTCTATTCTGTTCTACGCCTGAACCAATAAAGGAGAAGCTTCTGCTGTCGTGGTGCGCAGCAAATCGCATCGTCTTGACTAACTTTTCTCTCTCTCTGTGTAGCTCATTCTCTCACTGTACCAGCCGAATCCTCCCGAAGTGATCGCTCAGACACAGGCAACTTTATCTCGTCTTCAAGGCACTCCTGAAGCTTGGGGTCTTGCTCGTATCCTATTGGAGAAGCCTGATCAGCAGGTCAGGTTCTTTGGCGCCCTCACCATCGTCATCAAACTCAATAACGAGAGGTACTCATGTCTTTGTTGTTGTTACTGGCCTCTCGCTAACCTTCTCTGAAGTTCATCCCTCTCACCCGAAGATGCCTCTGAGCTGTTATTGTTATTGATAAATCACTACCTGGATACGCTGCGCAGTCGAAGCTCGCCGTTGGTTGCCCGGAAACTCGCATCAGCCCTTGCGACCTTTTACATCAACTTTCACCAACTATGGAGTCGTTTCATCCGCCATCTCCTATTCTGCTTAGTCTCAGGCCAGTCGTGTCTACCAAGTGCCCTCGATGAAGGACCCGATACAGTTTCGCTTATGGAGCGTATGGAACCATCACAGGCACAGGCTGCTCTTTGGGTACTGACCAACGTCTTCGATGAGGTTGCTAAGATCAACTTGAACTCCGTGCAAAAGTATGTACCTGCCGCGCCGCTTCATGATCGACTGTTCTGTCCGCTCGCGGCTAACCTAACGGCAGTATTGGTATCTATGGCTCCATCTTGGAGAATAGCTCTGATGCAGTGGCTTTGATGAGTCGCAGCATGTCACCGCAAACGACAACGGAAGAAGCCCATGAAGACTCAATTCGATGCCTACAGGTAAACAAACACAGCTATCTCCCCTGAAGTTCACTGACGAAACATACAGTCGTGGGTATGGTTCGCTCAAAAGTCATCCTCCAAGGATACAAGGCTCTCGGAACCCATCGGACCCTTGATCACGGCAGTAATCACCTCCTTGACAGTCGACCAACTTTACAGCGTGTCAGTCGAACTAATGGTCGATCTGTTATCCAACTGCCTGATGTTTCTGAGCGATACCCATTTTGACCATCTTGCTCAGCTCTTTGACTCCTCCTGGTCTCAGCGTCGTTATGAGAAATTGGTGCAAGGAGATTTTGAGTTTGACTCTCTACAATATGGCCTACTCTTATTGGCCTTTGGAGAGGCCAAGATTGAGAGATTCATGCAAAGCGGTGACGACAGGAGTGAGAAACTGCTCTCGAATCTATGCGGTCTACTCGCTGCTCGAGGTTATGTTATTGAGGAAGACAAGATCTTTGTCCCAGCTCTCGAGTTCTGGCTGACGTATGCTGAGACCTTGACTGATCTAACGTATTCAGACGAGGAGTCAACTGAAACCTGGGTTCCTCGAGCTCGTGCTCATCTTCTGCAAGCTGTTTCGAACGCATGGCAGAAAATCATATACCCGCCTGCTGAGGAATTCCACTCGTGGGACTCAAGCGAACGGATAAGCTTCCATGACGCAAGAAAGGATGTAGTCGATCTTCTTCAGTCTGTCTTTACATTGGTGGGACCGCAGCTCGTGTCTACCTTTGCGAACTTTGTTCTGAAATCTTTGTCTGACTCGTCGTGGTCTCAGCTCGAAGCGGCGGCCTTCTGTCTGGGTGGACTTGCCGATTGTAT